AATCTTCTAAGGCTCTTCTTTGCTAGGAGTTAGCAAAACTAGCTGGCTCTATTACCAAACATTGGAATCTGATGGAGACACTTCATCAGTTTCTATAAAGTCAACCATTTGGGGCCCTAACAAAATTTTTCCACCATCTGTTCCAGGAAAATATACAGAGGAATTTTATGTCTCTGGGTCAAAAGGAATGAAGGTAGCTCTTGAAGGGAGGTGGGGAGACAGAGGGAAGGAAAGGGAAGAGAGGGAGGAAATCAGAGGGAGAGAGAAGGGGAGAGGGATGAGAGGGAAGAGAGAGAGAGAACATATAAAAAAGCAGTGTGACCAGAAACTGGGATTTTCCCTTTGGAAAAGGTTCACAATGTAAGTTAATAAAACATATTTGAAAACCTATTTGAAGTCCCCAGAAGCCCAACAGGAAAAAGCTATCTTTGTACTTAGTTCTGTTAGTTGTACTAAGTTTTCTCAAACTTATTCATCAGGGGGCAAAAAAATTATACATGCATTATACATACCTATATATCTATCCCAAGAGACAATGTTTTTTGGGGAATACTGCCTTATAAAAACCATGAGCAAGAATCAAATTTGACAGAATGGAAATGTGAAAAGTCTGTAAATTCAAGGTACTATGCAATGTACAGTATCAGTAAGAGGGACTTCAAGAAGCTATAGTAAGAAACCAAGGAAAGCACTCAAGAGATCACACCACATTGTCCCCTGGGAGCTGGAAGTCTCCTATATTGAATAATTACACAGACAAACCCTCTAAATCAAGCCCGTTAAGCCTGGAACTCAATCACTCAAACAAAACAAAACAAAACAAAACAAAACAAAACAAAACAAAACAAAACAAAACAAAACAAAACAAAACAATAGGGCAAGATTCCCCCCTCCCCTCAATTACTAAGATATTATTCCATTCAGTTCAGTAAATTCTCAGAGGAGCTTTTCTTGCGGTTGGTACCTAGATTTGGCAAGACCTGCTGGTTCCTAAAAGCAAGGAAGGTTTCATGGCAGCTGAGTGGGTTAATTTCCATTTGTGGCTCTGGGGTTTCTTTAGCTGAAGCAACATTTCAGGCACAGTTCCTCACTTGGCTGTGATCATCTAAACCCCTCCACTCAAAATTTCTTCCTTAGATCCAATGATAATGTGCTTTTACTATATACCAAGTGCTGAACCAGACCACACACATACCTATTTTCCACTTAATCATTAAAACAAGTCTCCTTCTCATGACACAGAACTCATGGGACATGGATAATAAAACTGAAGCTTGGAGCAGTTAAGTGACTTGTCCAAGGCTTAAACTAGTAAGAGGGAAAGCTATAACAGGAGTCTTATTCACAGAAGCCTGCAAATATCTTTTATTCTGCAATACAATGTGTTATTTGTAATTACACATACGTACTACTGTGCTAATAAAGCGATTAAAAAAATGATAAAATATACACAGAAATTGTGTTTTCTTTAATATCTGTCACTGTTTTAGAATGATATATTAAATTAATCTTCATTTTATAGTTTTTACTTTATATTCCTCTTTGTTCCACTGAAAGCTCCAATCAATTCGGGTTCATTAATAGTTAAGTCTCCACTCATTATTGTTCTTTCTAAAACCTTTTATATTCCTACAGGTCACATAAAGTCTGTTTGAGGAATACATTTAAGCGCTAATGACAGTTTCAGAAGCAAGTAAGAATGACATTTCATCCAGTAGAGTTAGTTATTATGTATAATGAATTTTAGCTACACCACGGTAAACCATTTTTAAAGTATTAATTTTCTGTGTACCAACCACAAGAATTTAAATCCTGCTTCTTTAGAAATTCTAGGTAACCACTCTGTATTATAAAACATCCATTCTTATATTTTTTGTATTTCATAGAAAATTTGGGGAAAAAAATGCTTATCTGGCACTAATGTCCCAAATGTGTGACCTGGTAGTTAAATTTTATAGGCAGTAAAGGAAAAGAAATTCATTTTAGGTGATAATATACTATATTACTATTTTACCTGAAGTTATTATTTTTCATACTCTTGAAATGCTGAAATGCAGTTTTAATTAGAATTCTGAGCTTTTAAATACTTTATCAAAGGCAGAGTCTTTAAGAATTTAAGCACAAAGGAGCAAAGATCATTTCAGACTTCACAGGACAAAGAAACCATTACTTCTAAAAGTTCTATCAATACATAAATGAGCTACCTTGTTAAAAGAAACTGGGAATTCTGGATAGTCTGTTGACTGCTTTCTGTGTTAGCTGTGTTGGTTGTTGCTGTGGATTGTGTGATTGTAGTGGTGACACTGCTTGTGTTAGTACGCCGGGTTGCATTGCGTGCGGTCTCCAGTTGTTGCCGTGCTGCCTGGGCATGCTGCCGCTCTAATTGCAGCTGCATCTGCAGTTGTTGTAACTGAGAAGCGGAAGGGCCAGAAGAATTAAGCTGTCCTCCTGCAGAACGTCTCACTCCTGATAACTGAGATAAAAGCTCTGCCAATAAAAAGGAAGACAATTAAAGTATACTTAAATACTGAGGAAAAACAAATGCTGCAGATGACTTTCACTGGCAAGAGGAACATTAGGACTGTGAGGTAACTGGCATATAATTTCATATGCCAGCTGAAACATATAGTTTCAGCCTGGAGCTCCACACTTCCTGGAGGCAGTTGTTTATGGGAAATACAGACACATAGGGGTATTAACCAACACACAATTATTTTTAATAAGCAAAATATATCAGACTTTTAAAAATTACTTGCTTTGTAGAACTTTCTTACAGTATTTTAGATTAAAATAAGCCTTCTTGACATGAGTGCCTAGAAAGCATAGGCAAGTCTATTCATGCTGTTCCTAGTTCTTTGAACAGTTCTAGACACATAACAGGCAAACACTGACTGAATGAGTAAATGATCAGAATTAAAGCGACAGACTTGGATTATTTCTGTGACCCCTGCAAACTCCTGCCTTTTATGGTACTTTCTGGTACTACACGTTGAGCACCAAAGGACCACTGCAGCAAGCACTACTACTGGTGACACCCCTTAGTGTCACCAGTAAAGCTGACTGGCTCGCTGACTGAACAGCCTACTTAGTGGTCTATTCTGATACAGGCTCTCATTTCAGTAAGGTCATACTCATGACGGGTGATGTGGATGTTTGTCCCTGCATTCCTATCTGAGTCAGGTGTAGGAACTGCCTTTTCCCACTCAGCATCTCTTCCTAGTGGAATTCAATTCCTACATGGAATTGAAGACTGCCTTGTTTGTAAACATTCCCAGGCTAGTAAATGTTCTTCATTATTAAATTCATTAATGGGATTAAGGTTATGTTTTCTTGTTCACTGTTGCTTTACTCCAAGGCTTTTATACCATTCTTTCTTACACCATCACTAAAATAAGCTAGTTTTCACTGATGACAATGTTTTGAAGTATTGGGAGAGAATCTCTCAATTCTGAGTTTTGCTTCTGGAAATTAACTTGAGAGTCTGCTACCAAGGAGAGTGGAAATATCCCTTTTAGGTGAGGAATTATCTTTTTAAAACTCCAAAACTCAGTTTGTTGAGCTTTTTACACATCCAAATACCCAAAGAACATCTGGAATTAAGACTTACATTGCATGTCTCATATTTAAAGAACACTGTAGTTGTTCCAAGTCCTGATCACAGATTTATACTGCAAGGTGTAACAAGGCTGCACAGTCTACCACGTGCATGCATTTCACAACATAGAGGCTTCCCATTTTATTGTCTGTGCTGGTGTGTCTTTCAGATTCTCAGGCTACCATGATTTCTGGCATTTTATTTTAACTGCCAACACTAGTGCTCTACTGCTGATTTCTTGGGCTAGCCATCCACTAGACTCAGTGACCTGGCAACAAGATTTGCCAATGTTACTATTCTTAGTTGTATTTTCTACAGACATTCAAACATGCTCTTTAGTAAATTCAACAATAATGCAATTCTCAAATCCAATCAAAACAGCAAAATTCTACTTGATGTTCTTTCATGAAAAGAGCTTAATTTTCTCAGTCTTATCAATTAATTTCCTTACTGGGTATATGTGGAGGTTGAAACATATACCCTGGAGATCTTTGAACTCTGAAGATTTTCTTGGGATTCAATGAGATCGCAAACAGAATATACACCACTTCTTATCTTGTTATGCTGCCAAGTGCTTAATAGAAATGCCAAGTGTTTCACTTAGAAATTTTCGGGGAATTTTGTGAAGGAATTTAAGAGTATGATGAGAGTTAGACTAAAAAATCAGATCTCATAACATTTTTTTAAAGGGAAACCACCATTCCCACCATTTCCTTTATTAATGTGGAACTAACTTACCAGCTATAGGATCCATGGCTTCCCTATTGCTTGGAGAATATGAACTCTGAGAAGAAGAAAGTCCACCAGTAGAACTGCTAGTAAAGTGCATGTTTGATCTACGAGCACGAGGACCTCCTAGACCCCGGCCAGGGTGAAACATTCTACGTACATGTCGAACACCACTCGATTCATCATAACTCCAAAGTTAAGAAAAGAACCCGAGTATTTCACAGGGGCAAAAAAATCACTTGTACTCTTCCTAGATGGACATACAAATTTTCCAAATTGTAAACGCTTTAAAATAGCACACTAGGAACCTCCCTGGTGGCGCAGTGGGTTAAAAGCTCAGCTCTACGAAGCTGGCCATAGCAACTTCATCACAAGTTTGATCTGAAGCCAGGAAGGTGACTCACATGGCACAGCAGACCTCTCCTGTCTCGCCTGCTGCTCCCCTCAGCAGTATACTTCATCAAGTCTGCCTGATTTGCTCCCCACTCTGTCTCTGGTGAAGCCTCTCATTGCCCCTGCACTTCTGACCTGTACCCCAGTTTTCCAAAGATTTATTCATACAGAACGGGGGTACAGGCCAGAGATGCGCAGGGTGAGAGGATTCACCAGGGACAGAGTGGGGAGCAGAACAGGCAGATCGACGCAGTATACTGCTGAGGGGAGCAGGGGCTCGAACTCATACGGAAGTGGCTTAAGCTTCTTAGTGCAGTGCTTTAACCCGCTGCGCCACCAGGAGGGCCAAATAAGTAAACATTAAAAAAAATAATAATAAAACAGCACATTTAAAGTCTCCCTGGTGTCATAAGGGATTAAGTCTCAGCACTATGAAGCCAATGGCAGCCACTGCAGCTTGAGTTTGAGTCCCTAGCCAGTGAGTTAACCCACATGGTGCAGCAGACCTCCTGTCTCGCCTGCTGCTCTACTCAGTAATGCATTTCAGTCAATCTGCCTGTTCTGGCTCCCCACTTGTCTCTGGTAAATTCTCTCAACCCCCGTATCTCTGGCCTATAGCCCAACTCTTGTATGCGTAAATAAATACAATAAATACAATAAATCTTAAAAAAATAAAATAGTATATTTAATTTAAAATGTAAATATCATCACTACATCTATGAGGGCCATTAACAATAAAAAAATGACACTCAAATATAAAGTAATATGGGAGTATTTGTAATATATTGAGTGTTTTCAAAGGCAAAAAGTCTCTAGGTAGAAAGAAATTTCTTCCTGGGTTTCATTTACAAAGGCCTCAGCAACACTGCCTAATGAGAAAGGCACTGCCTGGTGATATACATCCAGAGTGAGACAGCCAAACTCTGATCTCAGTATTAAATTTCATGTATATTTAAGCCAAACTTAATTAATAAGCCTCAGTTATTAAATCCTGGGAGAATTGTTTTATTATATAAGCTAACTGAATCTCAATTATTATTATAATGAGTATGAAATAGTGTGAATAAATTCAGGAATAAAAAGCTCCTTTTGGCTATTAATTCAAATCTCTAAGTTTTCCGAAGCAGCTATATTTGAATTCCTTGTACAAATGGATATAGAAAGTAACACTGCATTTGTTAGTAAGTTAAATTACAGGCAGTCTCATATTTTTTCTCCACAGCATTTTATAGTGATTATAATGGTTTCCAATGCAACCATTTTAAAAAGCTCCATGAGGAATGGAAATTTGAAAGTCTACTCTCAACCATTTTACAAGGCTGAGCTGACTCAACCTGAAGTAGGCACAAATTGTAAACAGCTACCAAATCTCATGAAAACCACATTGCATTTTCACAGGCGTGTGTGTGTATGTGAAAGAAATGCCAGCTACGGTAGTAAGAGACTCAAAGCAGCTATAAAATAGATTTTTTTTTCCAGGTTTCCAGTTATCCAACTGGTTGCTTTGGAGTCATTTAGGGACAAGCAAGTAGTTCCACAAAGCTCTCAGGGGCTTCCATAACGCACTATTTCATGGTGGTATTTCCTCATCATGGCTTTTGTACTACATGCTATAATTTGTTTCCAAAAAGAAGCTCGGTAAAGAGTGCATTTTAGGAAGAGTTCCGTCAAAATAGTAAAAAAAAGAAAGAGAAAGTTCTGATGTTTTAAGATGTTTACTGAAAAGGCATTTCCTCATGCTCAACAAATTTACCACACGATGGTGCTTGCGATATTTGAAAATTAGTGTTTTTTTAGGATAACTACTATATCAGCATTTTGCTTTCTAGAATTTAATGATAATACTCTTTAGGAATCTAAAAATGTAATGATGTCTTCTTTTACTCTTATATTTTACACACTTTAATATTCAGACACTCATATAAAAATCTCAAAACATAGCTGTGGATGAAATGGAACATTCTATTGCAGAGAAGCCAATTTCATTAGAGGCCCTCAAGCTTGATGAAAAAGTTCAGGCATCAGCTTAGTTTTACATTTTCCTCTTAGCTTCTCTGTGAAGCATGAATCAAGTAGAACTCTTCTAGGTACTGTTACAGGATTCTTTATAACAAAATGCAAAGTGTTTCAAAATGCAAAGTGTTTCAATTATCAAAACAAAACTTCACTTCTTTTTTCACCTTGCTCTCAGTGACCCCTGCACCTAGATAGAGTGCTTTCTTTGCTCCTCCATGTACTAGCTCCTAGAATTGATAGTTAGGTTGATGCTCTATCTAATTTCTCAGGTTGGTTTCATATCTTTGTCTTTCTGTTAACTTCTACTTATCTTCCACTAATTCTAAAGGATTATATTTCTAATAAGAAAATTTAGAGCTGTGAGCAAAGGATGGGAGCTTTATGACAAGAAAATCACAAGGCCAGTTTCTTTCTCAATAGGTCTAGGATTGAATTAAGTTTGCTAGGAGTCAGTCAAAGGAATCAGAATAAAGTCTGTTAGAGAGAAACATTTCAGAAAAACAATTCATAAGTTGAGATAAGAAGCACTGAGTCTACAAAATTAATTACTCAAGTGAGAGATCACTTGATCTCTCAGAGACTATGGGAACAATGCAAGAACTGTCCAGAGATGGATTGTGGAAGGGGAAGCAGAGATGAAAGTGGGAAAGGACCTGAGAGCTGGGCCTTACCTAATGCTAACCTGTTCAGAGACTGGCAATGTCTTGAGGGCAGACACAACTGCTACCCTCTAACCACGTCCCACCTACAGCAGGACACAGTAAACAGGGAGCTGGAGGGCAAAGAAATCCCAATGTTTAATTAGATTTTCATTTGGGTAAGCATTTTCCTCTTTTATATGAAAACACCATCCTGGAGACTTTTTACATGGTCAAATAGTCTTATAAAAATCTGATTGTAATGAATTAAAGATGATGAGCAAGTCAACTTTCATTTAATGAGCATGGTTCATATAATAGTAAGAGCATATAGAAAGAGAAATAAAAAAAACACATCTCAACACTGAGTCAGTTTTGGAAAAAGGTAAAAGAAAATAATTTGGAGGCTAGTTTTTCTCTTTGGGGATATTGTCCTTAAAAATAATCAAAATGACAAACATTACAAGCAATTCCCTTGTTGCTTCTTAAAAGGATATTAAATCTCTAGGGGCTCTGTGTTCAAGTGTAAGGTGAGCTGCAAAGTCATCTGTGACATGATTAGGATCGCCTCCAGGTAATGCTGCACATATTGGACAAATCTGAAATGAAAATAAAGAAAAAGCAGATTTAATAGCTGAACAGTGATCAGACACCTAGTTAAAAATATAGTTTCGTAGGCCTGTGTGTAGGCCTGAATCTAGGAGGTTTGAGAATCTGTACCTTGATCAGGGTTCCAGTTACCTTATAATTAGACAAGTTTGGCAAATGCACTTTAAATATATAATGATCTTGTCAAGCAAAAAATACTTATCCTGTTGTATAAAACACCAAATGCTGTCACTGTCTCCCTGTGCCAATCCTTATTCACCTACATCCTGGCCATTTTGTCTTTGTTATTACTTGAGTCTTCCCCTTTTGCTTTATCTTGTCACTGTAAATCATCATCAGCGCTGATTTTTATCTGCATTCCTTCTGCTTCCTACCCCTTATACTGAGATGGGATTCCCTGCCACAATCTTAACAGTTTCTATTTTTCCACGTGGTCCTGGACATGAAGGTCAGTGAGCAATCAGTCAAATGTAGATTCTTAACTCAGGTTTTGCTATGCCTAGAACGTACCTTCTGAAGTCATTATTCTACAGGTAAGTAACAAGCCATTACCGAATTTATATAAATTTCCCTATGATTGCCATGTTCATTAAAAAAATCTAAAATGGGCATGCGTAGGTTTTGTTTTACAGTAAGAGCTCCATGCATTCTTCCCATACAATTATCAACCAGTCTAAATAAAAAATTTGAATTTCTTCCAACCTCTTCTTTGAATTCCTACACCAACATTAAGGCAGCATTCCCTCTTGTGGCTACTATGTGGAGCTTTACAAACAATTGAGGCATTAAGTTCCACAATATGATTAAGTTTTTTTCCTTTGCCCTGGACTTCAAAACAACATTCTTGCTCATTGGTTCACTGCCACCAAAAAAAAAAGGAATTAAAAAAACCTGCTTATCTGACCTAATATATTAACCTAGCTTTAAGTGAAGCTAGACTGCAGCATTTAGTAGAAACAGGTCTTTCACCAAAATCATTCAGCAGATGCTGAGGAGGACGGTTGTTTCTTCATCATGAGGTTGATCCACTTTTTAAACACCTCTTTATTGTCTACTAAGTCAAGTGAATAAATACTTTGGCTTAAAAGGTTCTCATAATCTGGCCTATCACTCAGCTGATTCAATTTTATTTCCCCAATAGTCACATACTCTCCACCATCTATGTCCTTTTTCACAGCCACATCTTGGATCATGTTGTCTCCTCTTTCTGAACAGTGCTTTTCCCTCCCCATTCTATCCACTTTTTGAAATCATATAATTTTTTAAAAACCTACCTCAAATTCACAAAACCCTTCCTAACTCCTTTCTGACTTAATCTCTTGTGTTTTGTGAGCTAATTTGCTCTTTAAACCTGCCATGAAATATATGTGCGTAGAAGCCATTTTAACATTTGATATATTGACAGTTAATGTACCTTTCTCCAAGAGTTTGATGATTTAGGAAAGCAACATTTCACATTTTACATATGGTAAATGTAACGGTGTTGGTTATTATTGGAGAAACACCAAACTTATAAATATATGTCTTACAAAAGGCTTGTAAAAATATTTCCCTTTGCAAGTTGTCCTTAATAACTGGCCCAGAAATTATCTATAACAGCCTTTTTTCCTGATGTTATCCTTCTGAGGGCAAAGAAGTGAGGCAAAGTAGATGTGCTCTCCTCATATTTTTCTTTGGCTAATAACCAATTAGCAATTTCTGCTCAGCACCCTTAATTTTTGTCACATGCACATCTGCAGCCCCCATCCTCCCGTTTACTAGCTTTTTGTCCAGTCTTGAAAATTCCTTTCCATTATTAGTGTTTGAGTCAAATTAGGAAGCTAATCATGGCTGAAAAGTATTGTTTTGTATTTGAGGAGTTACTGGCTCTGAAGCAAAATTAAAATGCAGTGGAGAACCTGTCCATTGCCGTAACTCTATTTTTGTCTTCAGGAAGTTCTGCTTATTTCTTTATCCTTTAGTGAATTTGCTTTTTCCCCCAGTGATAAACATAATAAGAGAAAACAAAACAAAGTCATATAATTTCCCCATGTTAATACTTTCTAATGTGACCCTCTCTGGTGGTGCAGCGGGCTAAAAGTGCAGCACTGCAAGCTAGCTGCAGCTGATTCAGTGCGAGTTTGATCCCTGTCCCGGAGGTGACCCACATGGCGCGGCAGACCTCTCCTGATCCGCCTGCTGCTCCCCTCAGCAGTGTATTTCAGTACATCTGCCTGTTGTGCACCCTGTTCTGTCCCTGGTGAATCCTCTCACTATCCCTGCACCTCTGGCCTGTACCCCAGTTTGGTACGAATATTAAAAAAAAATACTTTCTAATGTAAGGTTAGGTAGATGTTCCTAAGTTTAACTCTGAAACAAAAGTTTACCACAAGATGTATTCTGCCAGCTTATGTGCTTACTATGCTCATAGTTCCAAACTACAAGTCCAAAGGATATTTATAGAAATAGCCCTGCCTTAAACTGGGGGGTTTCCTTTTTGAGGATGATATATATGTAGCCTAAATAAATTTAAGTGAAAACATCTAAGTAAAGCTTTTTGAACATTGTATAAGATACCGCATCTTCTAGAACACTCTTCCTTGTGTTGTTTTACAACTGCAGCCCAATTTCCAGGTAATGAACCCATGTTATAAAATCCATAAATGAGTTTGTATATTAAAGTTCTGACTGACTAAATTTGTTATACTGCATAATTCTGTTATTATGAATGGAACAATTCATTTATTTGTTGAATACAATTAAGTATTTATTGAGTACTAAGTCAGTGTTAACTTAATATCCTGAGTTATATATATAAAAAAAGCATAGTGAAATTTTCAAGAAGTGAACAAGAGTGAGTTTCATCTCTTTTTTGAAACTTATTTATTCCAACTGTGGTTTAATTCATGGCACTCCTTTTGAAGAACTCAAACTCAGTTCTAGAGATGTCATACTTGTTCTGAAAGGCAGATTTTCTAATCACTGCCATTACAGTGAAAAAATTTAAAATTCTTTTACAGAAAAACCACCAAAAAGAGTCATTAGAATTTAAAGCCAAGATACACAAAAACCTTACATGCCAAATCTGAATCCTACTAAAAAAATAAACTGACATTTTACTGAGCTAACAACTGTGGAAGCTAACCGAAAAGTTCTGGTTTTTTCAATCATTTACCCAATTGAAAATATTTTATCAGGCCCTCCCTGGTGGCACAACGGGTTAAAGCACAGCACTGTAAGCAAGCCACAAGCCTTTCAGTGCGAGCTCAATGATCCCCGGCCCCGGAGGTGATCCACATAGCATGGCAGACTTTTCCTGACCTGCCCACTGCTCCCCTCAACAGTGTACTTGGATCAATCTGCCTGTTCTGCTCCCCACTTTGTGGTAAATCCACACCACTTCTGCACCTCTGGCCTTTACCCTAGAGTTCTGTATGCATAAATAAATAAATCTTTAAAGAAACCTCTCACAAACCTTCAACCCTTAAAAAAAAAATTTCTATCTTGTTAAGATCTGAGGGTACAATGAATATAAAGACTGAATATTGGAGCCTTACTTTGAGAGTATGTAGAAAAGCGTTAGTGTACGGCCTGTACTATATAGTCAAAAAGCTCCCTTTGGACCTTTTACAATCATCCTAAGTTGTAGAAACTTGCACATAGCCACCTATTTTTTGTCAATACAGATAGAGGTCCTTTAAAACTTTCAGTGAGACCACTGCTCAAGTAGATTATAATATAATTTTCTGTTAAATTAAAATTATTATTTTAACTTAATATTTAAGTATTATTAAGTTACTTAATACTGAATTAATTTGCCTCCTTAGTTCCATTCTCCCTATTTTAATGCTTAGATTGGAAGTGTCACCTTCTTCTAAAGAACACTTAAATGTTAGGGAGTTTTGTTATATTCAATTAAAAAAAATTCCTTATATTCTTATATGTGATTTTTAAAGTCCTAAAAGTCTTAGGCAGGTTTCCTGACAGAATTTTAAATTTCATGTGTATACTGACGTCTTGGGAATTCACAACATTTGAGTAACATAATTTAGCCACAACAAAAATATCTCCAAAGGAATCAGACCTTTTCGTTATCCTGTCTACTCTAGAAGTAAGCAGTCATACTTAACCTAACTCAGTCTGAGCTCTATTCTTCAATTTTCCCTGGGGTAAATTACACATTTTATGGTAGAATTTGAGAAACAGAAATGGGGGCCTATTGTTCCTAAACATTATCAATAAGAATCTGAAAGCTGCAAGACATGGATAGAGAGCCAGTCCCCAAAAGCCAGCAACAATTTTAGTGAAGAACAGAAATTAACCCCACATAGTCAGTGGGTATACCTTTCATATGAGTTTAAATTATGGTCTTGCAATGACAGAAGCATGTATAGTCCTCTTCTCATGGCATAACCAGCTTGCCAAGTGATACCAAGAGTGGTAAAGCTTTATAAATAAAATGATCTCAACTATGAACACCATGGTTGGCATCTTCAAAATATTTTTAAAATTCAGTTTGTGTGTGTGTGTGTGTGTGTGTGTGTGTGTATTTTAACTTGAGGGGAGGGCGGGAAAAGAAAGGCCCATAGGAGGAAAAAAGACAAGGCTGAGTTCAAAATGCTTTAAGAATTCTGAGCTACCTTATAATTTGCCAACAACTGCCATATTTAATTTGTAACATCCTTGCTATAAATCTTCCTGCAAAACATTTCCAAGTTTCAAAACATTTCCAAGTTTACGGACTTGAAATCAGCTATCTGGACAATGAACTAGACAAGTTAGTATTTCATAGGATATAGAAACTATAGCAGGAGCCAAAGGGGAAAAAAAAAATTTAAATGAATGAAGATTTTAGAACTGTGTCCTTACTCAACACACCCATGCACATTTAAGTTCTTCTATTCTGAACACTGTCCTGTTCTTTCCTACAGGATTTGCTTCAATACATGGTAAACAGAATAAAAACCATACCCAGGGATAACACGTTCTCAAATATTAGGCATAGATACTGTACTGAAAAGCTACCAATAAGCTCATTTTCATAAAAATCTAAACAATTCCCTTCTTGGTTTTCCTATTTTAAGGAACTTGGTTTCTTTTAGAAATCTTGAAACAGAACACACACACATACTTATCCCAGAACAAATATGGAATGCCCAAAAAGTTTCTGATCCTCTCCTTCCCTGCTATCCGGTAACAAGTTTGCTGGGATACAAACAGCTACATCACACCTAAAACCAAAAGCACTACAATCTGATCTTAAAACAACAAGTAAATGTGCTTAAAATAATTAATATTTTCCAAATATGCAAAAATAATCAAATACTAAAGTTAGAGAAAAGATTTATAAAACAAAGTGTTTTGAGTAATAAACCCCACAAATGGCACTGAATTCTGATTTGTAATCTCTTGCTAGCTGCAGCTTAGTAGTGGCAAATGGTTACTGCAATGACTACACTTTTCAAATTGCAACTATTTCTCTACTACTTCTTTATTTTTTCCTTTTAATGCATATTGGCTTTTTAATGCTTACCTTTCATGATAATTATATACTGTGCTACTTCCCTTCTTAATTCTTCTCATAACCAAAATCCAGTCAGTTGTCCCAACCTACCATGTTTTGTGGTAACCATGAAGGTTTACAAAAATTTAAAATCATACTATTTATCTCGTTGGTATTTATATAAATTCCTAAGTCCTATACCCAATCTGTACTTTTGATTTTTTAAAGTAGTAATCACCTTTACTTATGCATTCTATGTCAGATGTTGTTTCTCAAAGTACCAGATTTTAACAAGTGAAAAGCCTCTTGAGTAATCTTAAACATAAAAAAAAAGAAGCAAGTTGTAGGTAGGGCCTTGGAGTCATAGATGAAAAGGAGGCAAGGAAACAAATCAAAACAAACAAAAAGGCAAGGACTACAAAGTTGTTTTTAAAATTAACCTTCAATAGACTTTCTTATTAGCTATGTCAATAAAAGTGACAGAAAATCTTAAATTTGCAGGGACATGTCCTCTTGCCTCCAAATGTTTCAAAGGGGTGCTGGTTAGAGGGGTGAGTTTTTTTTTTCCCATTTATTTTTTATATATGTATTTACATTATCATCCATTTTATAACAATGTTTATTCCCCCCTCCTCCTCCTTTCATCATCGTAGCCCCCACACTCTTCCCTCCTTCTGATCCCTCTTTGTCCCCCTTAAGGGGTGAGTCTTATGACCCACAGGAAGGTACAAACTAGTGGCATCTGAAGAAGGAACATGGGCACAGCAAGACAGCAAGTTGAGCATTTAGAAAAAAAGATGTAAGGAGGAATACGGAAAGATACAGTTGGTTGTTATGAGAATATAATCCCCAGCACAATGAGATGAGTTGCTCTTGAACCCAGAATTTAAAAATGTTTGATTAACCTTAACTTTGGCAAAACACTGTAGAGCAAGGAGGTGAGAGGGGGAGGAGGAAGGGCTGGGGCTAGAGACACATAGTAGCATCACACAGTTATACTTACATATAATTGTTAGATACTAGAGCTTGTAACACACTTCACATATATACAGAAGAAACATTTACAATATTTAACAACTGGTAGGCACCAGTCTTTCTTTTAGCAAGTCCAATGTAAACTACCTGTGGTGTGCAAGCCATATTTCAAAGAAAAGACTCTATACCTTCATGACAAAGATTCCTGTCTACTTACTATTTTTTACTTTGAAATACCCAGGTGTGTTATGGGTAGAAACAGAGGTAGAAGTGGTAATTATACAAAGACTAAGAGTTAATGAAGAAAGAAATACTTAAAATATTTCACAATTACTAGTAAGAGAAGACTGTCTTGTTGCTATCTACCTGCAGGGATATACCACACCACTGCCTTGAGCTATCTAGCAAAGCTTGAGAATTTAATGAAGAAGCATAATGCAACACAATTAATGAAGAAAGCCCACAAAGCCATGGGCAAATGGGAGTATTTAATTTTCAATTTATATCAGTTATAGAGGAATATAAACAAATTATGACTACTTGCAGGGAAAAATTAAAAGGCAAGGCTGCTGAAGCTGATTCGTAATTTTAGGAAATGATTAATCAGCTTTTCATTCATGGAATGGATTTAAATTTCCATTGCATTTTCCAATTTTGAATGTGGAGAGCAGGACAGATATCCTGCCCAGTGGCACGATACAAATACTATACTATTGCCCACTGGCTAGTAATGAGTTTTTAAAATGCTTAGTTTATACTAAGAGAAATCCCTCTTTATTACATCTAGGTAAATGGAGTGCCCAAACTTAAAAGAAATTAAATCAAGGAAAAATTAAAATAACCAGGATGGAGATGGAACCAAGTCAGTATTCTTCATACTACTATCTGTTCTAAAAGGAAGCAAAGTCACCTTTACAAATAGAATGACTTAAAAACAAAAGTAAAATGTAAAAATAGCACTGTGATTCTCTCTACACATTGCAGGATGAGGGAGTTTCTGAGTTGTCAGATAGTAAAATTTGCCTCCGGGACTATATGATATGAATTTACCAACTGTTTCAACTATAAGTCTTATAAAACTGTAAGCATCAAATGGCATAAATGGGAATGAAAGTGAACCTGTATTACAGCTATACCAACAGAACTAGAGCAGAGACAGAACAGGGCAGCAGTTAATTAAGTAGGGACTGTACAACCCAGAGGGACTCTGACTCGTTCAAACACTTGGCACTGCCCCTTAGTAGATCTTATGTTCCTGGGCTTACTACTTTATTTCTCTTGAGCCTCAGTTTGTTTTGAGGTCAGTTAAGGGCTTATTAGTTGAGTCAATGTGTAATTAATTGCTCATGCCAAATTCTCCAAACTCCATAACTACAGGTCCATCTCTCATCTCTCACTTTATCTATTGCCACCAATGGTTAAGGGGGAAAGGAATTTTTTTTTTTTAAAGATTTATTTATTTATTCATACAGAACTGGGGTACAGGCCAGAGATGCGGAGGGTGAGAGGATTCACCAGAGACAGAGTGGGGAGCAGAATAGGCAGATCAACGAAGTACACTGCTGAGGGGAGCAGCGGGCGGGTTAGGAGAGGTCTGCCACGCCATGTGGTCACCTCCAGGGCAGGCGGGGATCGAACTCATGCGGAAGTGGCTTTAGTTTCTCAGTGCAGTGCTTTAACCCGCTGCGCCACCAGGGAGGGCCCGGGGAAAGGAATTTTGGGGTATACTTTAATCACTTCTTCAAGTTGAATGTATGTGGACTCAAATTTCAAGTAAAAAAAGCTTTCAAGGCAAGACTTTCTTTGTATAGTATTCTGGTTCCTTAGTTTATAATCACAGGGAAAGATAAGAGCAAGGGGAACTTGTAGAGACTCCAGAGTTTTAAAATATGAGGCAAGAGATTTGATCTGTTGAAAACTAAGCAAGGTCAATGATACAGTACAATGAATTACTGTTTAATTTTTCAATTTTTCTGTGGTTTCCTTATAGGAAAAAAATCAAGCAGGTAGAAAAATATAATAAAAAAAGGTATGTTGCAGGCTGGGGTCTTCACAATGCATGTTTTGAAAGAGGGCTTCTGAATTTGGTTAAGATTCTACACTGTTCTTTTAGCTAGAATGCAAGAAAGACTTGTGTGGACAAAGAAGGGCATTATTATCTTCTACACATGTAGCATTCTAGAAAGTGTAAAATTTGATGTGAAAAGATAAATTTTAATAATTATTACACAAACAGTATAAGTACACTTAGATGATAGTAACCAAGCCCTGTTTATCTTAGAAATAATGTGTTTTACATCATTTTAGAAACAAGGTTGTATCACTTACCACTTCTGTTGATGTTTCTGCATGTTCAGAAGTAACATGTTCCTGAAGAGATGTCTCCGTATAGCCCATTTTTCCACAATAGGGACAAGTAAAAGACTGTGGCTGCTCTACAGAGAAAGCTTCCCCACCATAGTACAAATCTAAGAAATAAAGTGAATTGCATTGAGAAAGTATTTTTAGATTTCGTATTATTTAAAAATATAATCATGTAGTAAAAAAAAAAGTGTGCCAAAATCTCCAACAGTCTCAGTCTGTCAAGGAGTGCTTAGGTACCTCTCTATCTACATCTATAGCATCTTTATTCTCCCAGACACTGTAGCTCAATGATACCTCTTCAAAATCCCTTCTCCATATGTTTACTCTAGCCTTATGAGAAAAAAAGGCAAACAGCTTTTTATTCTTTTATAATTCTGAAATGCCTCTTATTTCATATCTGGTTCTATTTTTATTATAATTTATTTCTTATCTGCATATACTGTGGCAATGCCAGTGTCAACACAAAGAATTAGCAGGCCGCATCAGATAAAAGAACACAAATGCTCAGAGGGACAGACCAGATGATGATGATGATCAGTATGTCAACATGGCCCAGATGAAGCTGTCTATAGAAGATCCATTCTTACAGCAGAAAGACCCTATGTAGTCAGTCCTTGAAAGTACTAATTTGAATGAGCTGCTCAGTAGATTATAATACTCTACTTGGTTACAGAAGAGCTGACCATTTACTGAGAGCCTGGGAAATTTTTGCTTACCTTCTAAGTATATCTCAGGGAATAAGCTTTTTTTGTTCTACTGGTAGCACAAATGAAATTCAATGTATATTTGGTATGTTATGCCATTTATCTACAAAGATCTCATTATTTAATATGAAATGAATGCCTAATTTTTTAGTCACTTTTATGAAAAAAATTTTTTAAAAGGATTCATGATAAATTTGTTTGCATTTACTTTAGGGGAGATTTAAACTACCTTAAAAAAATATTTGCCCATTACATATACAGTGAACTTTTATTATGTGCATAAGACTTGCCAAGTGGATCTGAGGTAAGGAGGAGTAAATATATAAAAAGAATAGAATTTTCTCACCTATTAAAACCATAAAACCCACAGTTAACATCATATTTGCTGGTCAAAAGCTAATGTTTCCCCTCTAAAACTAGGAGTAAGACAAGTATGTCATTCTTGCCATTTCAATTCAATATTTTAGTGAAGGATCTATCTAATCACAGTAATCAGGCAAGAAAATGAAAGAAATAGAGATGGAAAGGAATAAGTAAAACCATCTCTATTAGCAGATCACATGAACTTTGTGTATAAAAAGTCATAAGGGATTTGATTTTAATTACTATTAAAATGAATAAGTTAATCCAGCACCTTTGTAAGACCTATATAAAAAGCCCCTTTTCTAAACACTTGCAGAACAATCAAAAAAATTCCATTTACCATAGCAAAAAGAATAAAATTCTCAAGAATATATTCATGAAAGAAGCAAAATTTATCCTAGGTTAACCATAAAACTTTGGGGAAAGAAATTAAAGATGTTTAGTAAATGAAACACTAGCCATTTTCATAGATTGACAAATATGATTTTTTTTCCAAACTGACTATAGATTCAAAATATTTCCTATAAAGAAAACAAATTCCACTTGGCTTATTAACAGAAATTTGATAAACTGATGCTAAAATTCACTAGGAACTAAAGGGCCAAAAATACTTAAAACAATTTTAAAGAACACAGAGATTCACACTTCTTAATTTCAAAGTTTACAAAGCATCAATAATTAACACACTGTGGTGATGGCATAAAAATACATATAAATCAATGGATTAGATTGATAATCCAGAAATACAAGTCCACATTTATGTTCAACTGGCTTTCTAATATCTACCACCTCTACAGCTTTCGCTGTGTATGCCCTGTACATATAAACTTAATTTAAGATCTACCTTATTTGATCATTTCAAGAATAGAGTACAATTTTGGTAATATGGTCATCATGCTGTACATTAGATCATCTTCCATAAGATAACTTTATACCCTTTGACTACGATAGCACCCTATTTTCCACTCTCCTTGGTCAACTGACTTTCAATAAGAACTCCAATTTATTGGGTAAAGAAGTCTTTTCAATAAATGATGCTGGGGCAACTGGATAGTCATATGTGAAAATATCAAGTTGGATATCTACCTTATTCCAAGTATAAAAATTATATCTAAAAGATTTAAAAATAAACCCCCAAATTATACAATTTTTAGAAGAAATCATAAGTTTAAATTTTTATAATCTTGGATTAAGCAATGGCTTCCTAACTATGACACCAAAAGGAAAAAAAAAGAAAAAAAGTCATCAACTTTTATGCTTCAAAACACACCAAGAAAGTAAAAAGACAAATCCATGGAATGGAAATTGATTCATTTCCATAATTAATTCATAAAGCAACGTGAGCAGAGAATGTACAAAGAATTATTAAAACACAGTAATAAAAGGCACATGACCCTATTTTAAAAAATGGACAAAGGATTCAAATAGACATTTCCCCCAATAAGCAGAAAAAAAGATGTTCAACATCATTAGTCAAATTAAACCCAAATTAGGTATTACTTCATAACTAGTAGGATGTAAATGAACAAAAAGATATTAAGTGCTGACCAGGTAAAAGCAGGAAATATTTGTAGCTTGTTTTAGGTCTGACAATGTCTTAATAATAATCAATTATCACAACCTGCTTTCCCATAACTAGAGTGAGAGCACAGCAGTAACTCAGTCTAACTTTATGCCCTTTTACTGAGGCACTCTTCTGTATCTCACCCTGTCAGCTGCATACATCTCTGTTAAGCCAAATAATTAATTAAATAATAAATGATAGATTCACTTTATTATTGACTTTGGAGTCTCATATATTCTATGGGGATAGTTTGAGAGCATTTGCCTTATTTCTTCATATACACTAATCAAAATTCTAAATAATAATCTACTGAATTTTTAACGAAATACATACCAAAATCTACCCTTGTTAATATGCACTGCATTGGGTGGTCAGTTGTATGCCTTGTTGTTGTTGCACCACTCTCATAACAAGATGCACAAAGATCGTAATCGTAGCAAATTAAACACTTATATCTGCGACCTCGAAAATTTCCTTTTAAACATGCATCACAGCTGACACCTATAAAAAAGAGAAATACCGTAATTAGCAAATGTAGAATGCTATTCTCCATTTCATTTTCATAAACTTAAGATGCTCATTTAACCAGCTGAGTTCCTTTCCAAAAGGATTCGAAAGGATGCAATAACACATGGGAGTTTCCAACAATATGGCAGATGTTACCCTGATTTAGACTCCTAGTGAAAATAATTTAAAATGTTTAATAAGCAGTTGTAAAAGCAGTTTTTTGTTGTTGTTGTTGTTTCTTGCTGAGCTAGCAAAGAGGGTAAAACTGAATTAAAGACAAACTGGTAACTGGAATGATACTTGGGGGCATGCATTTACTGTAAAGCAGGTAAAAATCTGAACTTTAGATTTTCACAGTACTGTAGGACGAAACAAAGAAAGTAAACGTCACACTTGCAGAAGAAAGTATCTACCAGGCAATCCTCACCAAGCGGGGACCCTAGTAAACCTTTCACGTATGGGTGAGCTAAATATTCTTTTTGCCCCTTCTTACCCGGCAACAACAAAAACTCTGAGAAACCATAACTACAATCAGCCCAATCCTCTTACAAGGGACATCCCAAATTCAGACTCTCAAGTGATTCCAAAAGCCTCAGGTCAAGAATTTAAAGTGGTATAAAAATAAGCTTTCCAGTAATGAGATTTCATTAACAAAACACACAAAAAACAAAGCACCATTAGAAAAATGTAGCAGAAACAAACTAGCAAAGTATTTATATCAGAAATGGTTAAGATGAAAGAAACTTCTGAAGCTTGTAAAGTGGAAACATCAGAAAATGAACCAAACATTTAGATATTAAAAAGGCGGGATTAAGAAATTAAAATGTAAAATTCAAGTGGACAGGTTTAGTATCAGGGAATGCCTTTTACTCACATATGCTATGCTTGTTTATGTAAAAAAAAAAATCCAAATACAGCTGATTTTTAAGTATTTTAAATAAATATAAAGTTGCTCAATATGAAAAACAATTTAATACTGATTGTATTTCTTCACTCAAAAAAGGGAAAATGGATTACTGAAATTATACTATTCATGACTCCACTTATATAACATAATCAAATTTATAGAAATGTAGAACAGTAATTATTAGGAGGTGAGTGCCACGCAGAATAGGAAATATTGCTTAATGGGTACAGAAACTCAGTTTGAGAGGATAGAAAAGTTTTGGAGCTAGATAGTAGGCACAGACAACATGACTATACTTAATGCCATTGAACTGTACGTGTATAAAAAGGGTTTAAAATGATAGGCTTAATTTTTTTTATTACAAAAGTTTATTTTTACATCATTTTGTACATTTTTTTCCATCTCAATTGTAATCCCCGCAGGTTTCCCATCACCAAGTCACCCGTGTGCCATCACCATAACCCGTGCATTCCCCCCCCACCCCGTTTTTGATCCCATTCCCCACTCCACCCCCACAAAATGTCTCTGGTATATGGTTGTTCATTATTTTTGTTATTTTCTCGGATAGGCTTAATTTTTTAACAGATTTATTTATTTATGCATACAGAACTGGGGTACAGGCCAGAGGTACAGGGGTAGTAAGAAGATTCACCAGAGACAGAGTGGGGAGCAGAACAGGCAGACTGACAAAGTACACTGCTGAGGGGAGCTGCAGACAAGACAGGAGAGGTCTGCTGTGTCGTACGGGTCACCTCCCTGGCAGGAATCGAACTTGTGCTGGAGAGGCTGCGGCTAGACTCATAGTATTTTGCTTTAATCCACTGTGCCACCAGGAAAGGCCCTGATAGGCTTAATGTTATGTATATTTCAGCACAATCAAAAATATGACATTTGCCACAGTATTTATAAATTGCCTATGAGTAAATCTAACCAAAGATATGCAGACCTTTATGAAACAAGTTAGTAAAAATGTACTTAAAGATATTAAGTAACTCTGAGACATAAAAATAATATTTTCATGGATTGGAAGGTTGAACATAATGAAATGTCAATACTCCCAAAATTTATTTGTGAAATCAATTCAAAGCTAATCAAAATCATTGAAGAAGTTTTGGCAGAACATAAGCTGTCTCAAAGTTTTTTGCATGCTGAAATGGGTCATGAGTAAGTCAAGAAAAACAAGATGGAGAGGTTTACTTAACATGTCAAAGTTATAATAAAGTTACAGCAATTAATATGGAATGATACTGGCATACAGACAAACCAGTCAAAGGAACAGAATACAAAGTCAAGAAACAAATGCACACATGTTGAAATTTACTTTATGATACAGTAAGGCCATGAGAGATCAGTGAGGAAAAGGAGGCGACAAGTGGTGCCAGACAGGTGGGTAATCATCCTTATTGAGCTCAGAGTAGGAAACAGTTTCTTAAATCTTGCACATACATGTGACGACACACAAGATCTAAGCCATAAAGAGATAAACTCAACCACCACATTAGAAGACTTTTTCTTTTACATTCAATGCCCTAGAATGGTAGAAAAGATAAGACTCAGAAACTGGTGATATGTAGAACAGAACATCAACAGAGAAACTGGTATTGGGGATACATTTAGAACTCTCACATATCAGTTAGAAAGACAACAGAAAAATGGGCAAAGGCGTCGATGGGCACTACAAAGAACACATACAAATGGCCAAACATTGTAAAAATGCTCATCTTATTGGTTGTCAAAGAACTACAAACAAAACAATTATGAGCTATTATTTTATATCAATATGGCAAAATCCTTGACATTAACTGATTGATACTGAAGATAAGGAACAACAGAAACAGCTGGTGGGACTTTGTTCACATTACAGTAAAGTTAAACAGAAGTAACTTCTTTGACCCTGCAATTTCATTCTTAAATATATTTCCTGCATTTGGGCAAATAGTCCCCAAAATTTTTGCAACAACAAAGGCTGTTAATGTAAACATCAACAGCTCATTATAGAATGTTAAAAAAAAAAAAAAAGGAAAAGATTCATAGTTACCAAGGAAAGATAACTGTGAATCTCAGGAAGTCTCAAAAGGACCCACAGAGGAGGGAAATTTTGAAAAAAAAAAAAAAAAAAATCCACATAGTATAAAGTTCAAAAAACACTCTCTAGTTCAGGAAACCAAGTATACAGTAAAACCATAAAAAGAAGACAAGGAAACAATAAATAAAATTTTGGCCAGTGTTCCCTTTGGAGGGTGTGGTGCTTAGAGATCTTTAAAGATTTCCTTAATATCTGCAAGACAGAATCTGCAGTTTCTTCCTTTCCTTTGCATTTATTTAGCAAATGTTCTCATTTGCTGTTTTTAATAAATCTCTCTCGATCTCTTTTTTTAAAAGATTTATTTATTTATGCTTACAGAACTGGGATACAGGCCAGAGGTGCAGGGGCAGTGAGAGGATTCACCAGAGAAAGAGTGGGCAGCAGAACAGGCAGATGTACTGAAATACACTGCTGAGGGGAGCAATGGGCGGGTCAGGAGAGGTCTGCTACGCCATGTGAATCAGCTCGCTGGTGGAGGATAGAACTCCTGCTGCAGTGACTTCTGAGAGCTTAATAATGCAGTGCTTTAACCTGGTGCACCACCAGCGAGAGCCCTAATCTGTTTTTAAAGAAATCTCTCCTTCAATCAGAGGAAAACAAACAAACAAACAAACAAACAAAAAAACCACACACACACACAAAACAAAAAACCAAAGCCTAACGCTGAAATTACTTTTGAACATTCTTTGGGCTGTAGTTCAGGTGGTAAACAAGCATAGCTTTTGCCAGATTACAGATTCTCAATAAATGTTTTTGAATGAATACATTTCTATTTTATTTTTTAAAGACTTAGTTATTTATGCACAGAGGAGTTGGAGTGTAGGCCAGAGGGGTACACTCTGTGTGGGGGTGGGGGGGAGAGGATTCACAGAGACAGAGTGGGGAGCAGAATAGATGGATAAACTGAAATACACTGCTGTGGGCGGCAGTGGGAGAGACAGGAGTGGTCTGCTGCACCACCATGTGGGTTCTTAGTTCCCTAGCCCCAGATGAAACTCTGGCTGCAGTGGCTGTGGATAGTTTCACAGTGCTGAGAATTAATCCTGGCACCACCAGAGCGGCCCCATTTCTATTTTAAAAAGAAACTGGGGTTCCTGATATTAAGTAGTCATTAACAATGAGCGCTTAGGCAAATCTATTGGCCTCTGCTTAATTTCTTCATTTACCAAGTTTATTTATTTATTTTCATTTGTCTAGTGTGAGAATTAAAAAAAAAAGATTAAAGTCTTAAAATTTTAAGATGCTACCCTAATATCTTACTTTACTCAGATGTAGTAAAGATTATATTGCCACATTTCATGGTGTATAATTTGATGTCCATTAATAGTATACACAGCCTCTTAAATTTTCAAAATATCCTTCAAGATCATTGAGATTTCCAATTTGTACTGAATTCCCACCAATTCACACTGAGACTCAAGTGATGGCATCAAGTTAGCAATTCTTCAGCATATTTGGTAAATATTAAATGTCTTCTATGTTCTAGATGCTGGGAATATAGTAATTAACAAAACAAAGCTCTGGCTTCATAAAGCTAGTATCTAAGTGGATGAAGGCAGGCATACAAACAATTATAAAAGCAAATTAGAAGATAAGTGTTATAGAGAATAAAAAAGCAGAGATGGATAAGTGGTATAAAAAGAAAGCTTCACTGAAAAAACAAGCAAACAAATGAAACATTTAAAAATTTGCTTATTCAAAATAGCTTTCAAGTGTGACAAGTATAACATTGAAAAATCTGGAAACAGGGTAAATACTTATTGAGATCACAAATGAAAGTTAATGTAACTAGGTACAATAATTGTGCCAAACATATGCAGCATGAACTATGCTATAAAAAGGTGCCAGAAAGTTAAACACAGCTTTGAACATTACTTGTCTTGGTGCGTCCAATCTGATACTATTTAGGGCTTGCCTTTTCTTCTTGTGGTGGTCATGCCCACCACCAGTGTTAAGTGAACAGCTTAAAGTAACTGTGGACAATGATATTGTTAAATACTGCATCATTTTCAGTAAGAAGATGCAAATGCTGCTGGTCCCTTACCTATCCCACTCTTCTGATTTAATT